GCGAGCGCAGCGCGCGTGCAGGCAGCGCGCCCTCCGCCCGGGGCCTGGCGCCCTTTTCTCTCCGTGTTCCCAGAGGTCATCCCCGTAGCTTCGTAACCTCTAGACCTCAGCTGCTGTCAGAGAGGGTGAACAGGAAAGCCGGCAAGGACAGTGCTTCCCAGACCGGGCTCTGGTGTGCTCTGAGGCTCCAGAGCGTCTTTGCCCTAGCTGAGAGAAGTGCTATGGCAAAAAACGCTTTTTTGGTACAAATCTGGAAACTACCCACAAATTATTCCGCTCCCTGTCGGGGAGCTGTCTGCAGGCACTCTCCACGGAGCTGTCTGACAGCATCCAGCCATTTCGAACTGTCCTTTAAAAAAAACCCCACCAAAATAAAACAGGTTGCCGAGAGGTCTCGCCATCTATAAAAGCTTTCGGGTTATTTCTGTAGTTACAGGACCAAATCCCAGGGTCAGCTGTAATGGCGTTTAGCGCCTGATTGTGCACCCGTCCCCCTGCCTGCCCGTGCGCACGCCGGTGCTGCCCGGGCCGGCTCCCAGGCACTGAGCACCAGCAGAGTCGTGCCAGGGCCGCGCGCAGCTCCGCGTCGGCCGCTTGCCGCGGCGTTGCAAGTGCTGTCACAGCAGCGCTAGCTGTCTCCGCTGGTATCTGAAGTTGCAGAAGTTGCAATCACAGCAGTAGGTGAGTTGTAGCCGTACCTAGAACAGCACACAAACGTCTCTGGTGCCCAGAGCCCACGCTGGGAACGCCTCTCTGGATGCCTGGGAGCTTAATGTGTGCTTCTGTCCAAAGCATACGCGGGTCTCTGTAAAAGGAGCCTTTCGTTTGTAATAAAGCAAAACAGTCTGTGATGTTAATAACATCAGCTGATTATTTCTTGCATGGAAGATTTAGCAGGTTTCAGCTCACCTCCGTGCGTGCCTCAGGCAAGGCGATAGTAAGCGTTCCATTGCATTAGCTTTTCCAGGGTGGCAGCGATGGTTTGCATGCTTGCGTGGAGTTTTTTCGGGGATTTGTTTCTAGAAGCTGGCAGTCAGGAATTTGAACATCTGTCTTCCCTGGCTGGCCTCTGCTTTTGCTCCACTGCAGAAGGTTGCTGGATCGGTCTGTCCACGCCTGGATGCCTGCTCCTCCTGGCAGTATCCGTCCACCCAGAGCAGCGCTAGCAGGCAGCAAGGCAAGGAAGCCTCGGCTGTTGCTTACTTTCGTACGTTGATTTATCAGGGCACTTTATGGCTGTGAAAATTACTTCAAAAAACTTGTACACAGTCACAGGAACACAAACAATTCCAGACTTAGAAAGCAAAAGTTGGTGAGGAGGAAGAAGTACCTAGAGTATTTTTTTTAATTAGGATGAACTTTATGGTAACTAAAATTTTTTGAAAAATATTTTTAACTGTTTTCTAGCTTTTGTGAAGCCTAAAATGTTCGACGAAGTCACAGAGGAGACATACAACCTTAAAACCCTTCGTTTTCTCCAGGTCCAGTCTGGAACGCATAATGGAGAGGGAAAACCTGGGGCCTGTTTTTGGCAGACTCTATGTGGTTTAACAAATTTTGTCCCAGTCTGCGAGCACCTGCGTTCTCCAGCGTCTGTTCCCATGGTGGGTTGGGGTTTGTGTTCTTATGCTTTATTTTGCTTCTCTTGGCAGATTTGTCCCAGAGCAGCAGATCTTGCCTCCCCCAATACAGATGCAGCCGATTACCTGCAGCACGGTCCGACCTCCAGCCCCGTCGCCCGTTTTCTCCCCATCTCTGATGATCCCACACACCAGTTTCACGTCCCACCAGACGAGCACCCCAGTTCACCTCCACCAGTGGCCACAGCAACAGGTTCAGCAGCATCATCTCTACCTTCAGGTAATGGACTTGGAACAGGTTTATAAGTATGCACAAGGCTGGGTTCTGAGAACCAAAGCTTACCTGATCCCAGTGAAATCTGACCTGTCTTACCCAACAAACTCTGACCAGTGCTTACCTGACCGTAATCGCATCTCACGCGCCTGCCATTCCCATTGCATCTAAACATACCCAAGTCCTCAGCGTTTTTCAGGCTTGCTCAGTACCCAAGTCCAAGGCCATATTTTCCAAAGAACTCAGCTACTACTTAGTGTCCAGAAGAAATACCCACTTACTCAAATACATCTCCACATCCAGGGGAGCTCCCCTAGGAATCTGTTTATAACATGGTAAGGGATAAGGGCTCTTTTGAAAAATATGCCTCCTGCTGCTACCTCTCAGCATAGCAAGGCTCTTTCTCCAACTGCTGTCTTTTCTTTCTTTCAAATCACTGTTTCACAACAAAAATCTCTGGAGAAAGTGCGTTTGATTTTGCAAAGCACAGCTTCATCGGTGCATGCTGAATCAATAATGCTGCCGAGGAGAGGGATAGTTTATTAGAATTTACTATTTAGTAATATACTCTCCAAGACTTGCTGGGCTGGCAGAGGTAAGTTTATGGCCCTTCTCCCAAGATGTAGGAAAACAAAGCAAGAGGGTTAGATGACGCTGAAAGCAGTTATGCTGCAGGACTGGACTGAGTAAGCACTGACTCACTACTGTCAGCAGATGCAGAATGGGACCTGGAAAGCTGATCGGCTCCTCAGTAGGCCGCTACGATATGGCACCAGTGCAGCTGGTGTGATGGCCCTCCGCCAAGTACGACCCCTGCGCATGCACACAGGGCTCTGCAGGGCTGGGCAGCCCAGGCAGCCCGAGCAGGAGCTGGAGGCGTTTGCTTCCATCGCTCAGGAGGCCGAACTGAGTGACTTCTCCAGAGTTGCACATGGGACAAGAGCAGTCTCGTGCTCATAGGCTGCACAGAGGTCCCATGGGCTAACACTGTGCGCAGCAGAGTGATGGTGCTGAGGCGTGGATAATAGATAACTTCAGTGCAACAGAAAAATCAGGCTTTGGTGCCACAGTGGCCTTTGCTGAGGGAGGAACCAGCAGGTCCAACGCTTTGGGGTGTCGGCTACGGGGTGATACATGGACAAGGCTGCTCTGTGGCCTCTTGAGCTGTTGCTTGAAGACCATTCCCTCAGAGGATGGAAGTTGCACATCCACCAGATTTTGCTACACTTCCAAAAAGTGGTTTTTTTGTTTTAGCTCTCCAGCCTTGCTGGAGTCTTCTGCTGGGCTCCACGGCGGTCTATCCGTATGGGTAGGTCTTTCTTCATCTTTGCACTCTCCAGGCAGCGTTTGTCATGCTGGTAACACCAGTGTCCCCAACTGCTTTCTGCAACCTCTAACCTTGGTGGGCGGCAATGACCTTGGGGATGTGGCTCGCGTTCCTTGCTGAGATCCTCAGCATCGGCCCCCCCCCACCAGCAAGAGGGGACAGTCTGACCCATGTCTCCCGCCCTCTCTGCAGATGCAAGGTCGTGAGTCGGTGCCGGGGGGGCCGAACCAGCGCGTTTTCCAGGCATCTCACGCCCCGCAGCAGAGTCCCATGGGCTACTTCGTGCACCCGCAGCAGCCGAGCCGCCACGCGCAGGGCCAGCCCTGCAGCCTGCCCGACCTGCCGGAGATGCCGC